AAAAGACATGGTCACTTTTACCCAAGGGAGGAAGGTACTGAATGTCAAATATCTCTTCCTCCTTCCTGGTAAATATCAAATCTAGCATGGAGGGAACGTCCCCTTCCCTCATCCTCGTAGCTTGTTTAACATGTTGATACAAGAATGTTTCCAGGATGAGGTCTACAAATTTACAGGTCCAAAAATCTTCTGTTTTAGCTTCATATGCTTCCCAGTCTATGGATTTCAAGTTGAAGTCACCGACTATCAACAGTCGTGATCTATCGTTATCCGCTCTCGCTATAATCTCTCTCATTATTGTTATAAGACCTTCACGTTTACTATCCAGCTCCTCCTTTGACCACGTGCTGCTTGGCGGTGGACTATATGCATTTATCATCATTAGTTTATCATCCTCATAGCAGATCTCTAGTGCTATTATGTCAACTTCTTGTGGATTGGCAGTCATTATTTCCTTCACCTTTAGGTGTTCTTTTACCAGCACAGCAACGCCGCCGCCTTTCCTAATTTTTCTGTCCCGTCTCCAAATTGAGTAGCCCCTTGGGAATATGACCTCATTTAAAATTACATCTTCAAGTTTTGTCTCCGTGAGTGCAACAATGTCTGGTGTCTGCAGCTGTATTACATCACTTAACTCCAGTATCTTCGATCTCACTCCATCTATGTTGGTGTATGCAATCTTCAGGAACTTGTTCCCCCTCTCCTTATTCTTCACTCCCCCTCTCTCTATTGATTTTGTTGGTTTGCCTTTATGTACCACTTTACTGGTTTGCCTACCCCTATCACTTTGTAGAAAAAAGAATTTATTTCTTCTTCATTCCTGCTCTCATTTAAATGTTTTGCCTCGGCGAGGTTCAGTTTCAGCTTCTCTCTATCTTCTTTTGAAAGATCTCGTCTTAACGACCACCCTTTCCCATCCTCATCCCTTTGCAATTTTCTAGCATTCCTTAGTACTTCTTCCATCTGTTTGGCACCGTTTAGGGTGATCCTCAAAGGTCGATCTTTCCCTTTTACGTACCTGCCTATTCTCCTGTAGTCGCACACATTCTCTCTGTTTGTAAGACCTTCCACGAGGCCAACAATTTTATCTACTACTTTAGCTTCTTCTACAGCTCTTTCTGACCTAGATGTTATCGCCTTTTCTTTGCAGCCAAAAATGATCAGGGACTTACTCCGATCAACTGTGTTTTGCACCAACTTCGGGTTAGATGCCAATTCTTTCCTCACTTCTAGCCTAATGTTTGTTTTATCTTGGTTGCTGCAGTGTTTGACTTCCTTTACTGCTTCTTCTATTTTTTCCTTCTCCTTGGCCACTTGTGCATAAGTGAGTTGCATATCTTTCTTGCACTGTTCTATTCCCTGTGTAACTTCCTCCATCTGTGCTGACAATGTATCGGTTCCTGTGCCTCTTGGGCTCTGTCATGTCTACATGTGACATTGTATGGGGGTCAGCCTCGTTACTTGTGTGAGGAGTCGCCACATTACTTCCTAGTGCTTTCCCGTTCCCATTCTGACACTAAAAAAAAAAAAAAAAAAAAAAAAAAAAAAAAAAAAAAAAAAAAAAAAAAAAAAAAAAAAAAAAAAAAAAAAAAAATTAATTCTATCTGTGGCTCTTTTGGGTACTCAGTTTCCACCTGTGTCCCCTAGTGCGTGTGCCCCTTGTGTTACATAGCCTGTCCTTATCAACCCTGTCGATTCCCTTGGGTATCTTGAATGTGGTGATCAGGTCTCCCCTCACTTCATCTTCCAGCGAAGTGTGGTTTCATTCCCGTAGTCTCTCCTCATGACTTCGGTAGTGTACTTTTTCTTTCGGAAGGGGTTCTGTTCCTTCTCTGTTGACTGGGCGCTGGGGGAGCAGCTTGCTCTGTTGCCTCTCGCTTGGTCCCGTTGTTGGTGGGCGCTTTGGGTTGTCTTCCGGCCTCTGCTGGCGTCGGAGGACGGCTTCTCCCCTTGGGGGGGGGGGTTCAGAGCTGGCGGGGTGGGCTTCTTCCCCTGCGCTTCGTCATTTCCTCTTCGTGGGTGCGTGGGGCGTGGTCGATCCGCCCCATCCTTCTGGGCTTCCCGTCTGCTCTTTGCAGTCATGAGCTTTTCCCGTCTGCTCTTTGCAGTCATGAGCTTTTCCAGTCTGCAGTTCTTCTGGACTACTTCAGTCTGCGCCCTGGATCCTCTGCCTTCCTCGGAGGACTGTTGTCTCCTGTTCGGATTCTGTTAGGGCCGGGTGCATGGATGGTGGCCCTGGACCTCCAGGTCACTTCTTGTCACGTTCCTCTCCAGTTTTTCTGGGGCTAGCACGGTTGGTAATTACCTATGTGTACTTACCTAAGTGTAGTTACAGGATGAGAGCTGCTACTCGTGGTGTCCCGTCTTCCCAGCACTCTTTGTCATATAATGCTTTGATTATAATTGTCATATTGTCATATAATGATTGTCATATGTCATAATATGTCTTAATATGATTGTCATATAATGCTTTGGTGGTGGGGCTTCAGGTTTGCTGTTTTTATTGCCCTCCCTATTTTGTAAAGGGCACTTTGTATACTCTTTGCATCTTTACCGGATCTTAGTGCCCTGTCTGCGTCTGAGATTCGGTGTCTGGCCTACCTCGACGACTGGCTGGAGTGGGCTCCCAGTCAGTCCGCTTGTCTGCTCGCCAGGGGATGGTTCTTTCCAGATCGCTGGGTTTGGTTTCCTGGTGATCTGGAGGTTTTTCCTTCTGTTTCCGTACCGGGTTCGGACCTGGGCCTTGTTTCAGGCTCTTGGGCCCTCATTGTCTTCCCTCCAGAAGTCTTACTGCGGCTGTGGTCCCGCCTTTGGCTGTTCAGGAGGGGTCCCGGGTTGCTCAGCGGTTGCTTGGGCGGTTGTGCGGGAGTTTGCACTTCGGCGTGCTTGTCTGCCCGCGGAGTCGGGTTTGGCTACGGCGTCGGTTGGTTCCTACGGAGACTCCCCTTCCGCCTCTTGCATTCCTTGGGTTCCTCTGGGGATCTGGTGTTGGTGCTGCGTCACCAGCTTCCTCTTTGGGGTTTTCGGGGTTCCGTGCCTTGGCACCTCCCCGTGCCTTTGCTCGATGTGTTCACGGATGGGTCGTCTCTCGGCTGGGGCTTTGTGACCAGTGCTCACCAGGTCGGCCGTGGTTGATGGAGTCTGTCTGTCCGTCGGGCTCACAGCCCGGTTCAGGTGTTCATGGCTGTCTGGTTTGCTCTTCGGAGGGTTTGGGTCACTAGGTACTCTACCATTCAGCTCTGTTTGGACTGTTCTCTGGTGGTTCTTGCCGGAACCACAGGGGGTTTGGTTAACCGTGTGGTTCGTGTCCGGGTGTGTCCTGCGTCCTGGTGGACAGCTGTCTCGGTTCAAACCCCTCCCTCCCACCGGTCGGCGGTTTTTTCGCGTTGGTTGAAGCTTAGCTTCCGAACTGGAGCTTGGCAGCCGGCGCGGTAGGTCCGGGGCTCTGTCCCGGTCTAACATAACATACATTAGCCCGATAAGCTCCAGGGAGCCTCCGGGGCTCACCCAGAAAATGGCGTTTCATTACATTCAACGCTGTTTTTTTCACTTTTCCCACCTCACTTTTCGTGCTATGTCATTTATTTTGGTATCAAATAGTTCGTAATAGAATTCTCTAAAGGGATCTACGCTTATACATGTAAAGTCAAAAGGCCCAGTACGCCACCCGCATCAAACCTGAAAATGGGCTGAGCGTTTCCCGTGAGCGCGCATCTGCACTAAAATGTTTATACGGTTTTCACTTTTCCCACCTCAATTTTCGTGCCACATCATTCATTTTGGTATCAAATTGTTTGCGATAAAATTCTCTAAAGGGATATATGCATATACTGTAAGGTCAAAAGGCCCGGTGCGCCACCCACATCAAAGCCGAAATGGGGCTGAGCGTTACCCTTGAGCGCGCATCTGCACTAAAATATTTATACTCTTTTTACACCTCAATTTTCATGCTACATCGTTCAGTTTGTTATCAAATTGTTCACAATAGAATGCTGCAAAGGGATATTTGCATATAAGAACATACAAGTCTCACTTTTCCATACTTTCGATGAACACTCGATAACTTTTCCCTCAAATGTGTTTGTTACTGCTTTCGTCATGGATTGGCTCTGTTCTTGATCACTATCCATCTTGAAGTCAATTTAAAGTGTTTATAAAACAGGTAAGAACAAATACCTGAGATAAAATAACTGGAATGTAGAAACTTTTCGACTCAAGTGGAGGCCGCAGCTTTCACGAGCGAGGTCACGAGAACAGTGAGCCTCCAGTGTAGGTGGGCGCCCACATGGCAGGAGTCAGGATGCCATGCGGGGTATACAGAGAATGGGCAGATGTTGGCACGCATTTTAAAATGTCCCATAGTATTTGGACAATAAATCAAATTTTTAAAAATATTTAAATTAATGACGTTGTTTGCATCATCATGCACTCTCCGAATTTTGGTTCTGTGATGGAATATGCGTGATCGAGCAGCGAAAGTGTTAAAATTTCCATGTACATATGAACATAAGAGTTAGGGAGCACTGCAGCACAACATCTGGCCTACACCAGATGGGTTTTGCCCAAATTCATTCTCCCTTCGGCCCTCATGCACACACCCATTACCAAGACCTGGGAAACTGCTTGTCACAACAATGGTAAGAAGCCTAAGTACAGGCTTCCTGTCTTTGACAGTGGGAATTATAAGTCGGTGTGCTGGAACTGAAGAGGCAGCGTATTGAGCATATAGATATTGACTAAATTATTTAAAAAAAAAGCCTTTCAACTGTGTCTCCTCCGTCTCCTCCTCCTCCTGATGGAATGCCACACTCACTGCTCCAAGATAGACAATCATATCCTGTATGGTATATTTACAGTATGGCATGATACTACCTAGCTTTGTCTTCAGGGTATTACCACTTTATTAGTTATACACACTTAATCTGGCTTGGTGCATTTTATATTTTTGTAAATTACAAATTTATAGTTTCTTCCACAACTGACCTACACAACCTTTGCAGACAATATTTTATCGTGGTCTTCCGAGAAGATCCATTTGAATTGTGGGATGCAAGGAAACTGGTACCACTACGGACAATGCCACGCCGGTTCCCTAGGGTATCAGCTCTGGAGTGGTCCCCAACCAGTCACGTCAAGACACGGCGAGAGTCCGAGAGCCACAGATCATTGTCAGAGTCTGAGCCTGGGAAGAATGAGTCGGTGGTTCCCAAAGAGGCACCACAGACTGAAGTATCGATGACGGAGTCTATGTTATCACTTGCTGATGTGGGTATGTATTAATGTTTTGCATATTAATGTCAAGTTTTAGCAGCAGGGAATAGAGTTATGAAGAATTGTTGAAATTTTGATTGATGTGTTAGAGTAGACTGTTAAATGAACAAATCCACAAGGGCCGTGACGAGGATTTGAACCTATGTCCGGGAGCATCCCAGACTCTGCCTTAATCGACTGAGCTACGACAGGGTAAAAGGGTTTGTTCATTTGATGCATCACGTTAGTGTGATCTCTGTGTGTAGTGTTAGACTGTTAAATGTGAGTGGGGATTAATATTATGATAATGGAGAGAGAGAGAGAGAGAAATTGTGTGTGTGCATAAAATATACTCAACTGGTGAGGTGTCCTGAAGTTAAGTTTGTCAAGGTCTTCTTGTAGCACCCTACAAGTCTTCTTCAGTTCATCCTCTCCTCATTAACTTGGCATCATCTGCAAACATTGACATGTATGAGCTCATTCTCCTTTGTGAGGTCATTTATGTAATTTAAAAATATGAAATGGTCACAGAACCTTGTGGAACACCACTTTCCATTCTTCTCCAGCCTGACATATCCTCTCTTACTATGACCATTTATTTCGTATCCATCAAGTACTCCAATACCCAGTCCAGTGTCTTGTTATCCCCACATGTCTCTTCATCTTTTGTGAGGAAATGTATTGGAATCTTTTTGGAAGTCAAGGAAGATACAGGCTACCCATCCTTCCTTGTGTTGTCTAATTTTGGTGACCCTGTCATAGAATTCAATCAAGTCTGTTAAGCATGATTTTCCCTCTGAAATTGTGTTGTGTTGTGTTTCTGTTATAAAATTTATTCTTCCCAAATGTTCATCAATCCTTTTTCTGATGACTTTTTCTAGCAGCTTGCATGGAATGTCCTTTAATGACACTGGCGTGTAGTTTAGTGTTTTATGTCCGTTTCCCCTCTCATGAATATTGGAACTACATTTGAATTCTCCAGATTTCAGGTAGCTCTTCCATCTCTAATGGAATATTGAACACTATAGTAAATGGGTAACAAGATTCCTGCAGCTTCCTTTGGTAATGATGGCAGCATCTAGCCTGGTTCTACTGCTTTTGTTACATCTAGCTCTTCCAGGTGTCATTTTACCTTTTCTACATTAACCTCATATCTGTCACGTGTTGTTTCTGGTCATCCATTGTTGCCCTTACCTGGACACCAATCTGGCTCCGGTTAGTAAACCACTTAGAATCTCTTGCCGAGTTCTTAACACACACTTCTTGCCATTCTCCAAGAGTGTTCTTCCCTGTCCCCACTGTCTGATCAAATGCTCTCATATCATTGTTTTCATCCTTACATGGCTGGACAATTGCTTAGGTTGACTCTGCTTTTGCCACAATGTCATTTTCAAACTTCTGTCCTGCTGCCCTCCTGATTCTGGTATATTCATTCCTGGCCTCCTTTAGTGCCTCACTATTTGCTTCAGTACTCATGTCTCTATATTTCTTCTGTCTTTTGTGTTAAACTTCAAGAGTCATGAGAGCTTACTGGTTTAGTTTGGAGTATGAACAAGTGGATGATGGTGGACTGATGAAGAGAGTGTATTTAAGTGACTATGAGGGGAGGAGGAGGGAGGGAGGGAAGAGGAGGATGGAGGAAAGGAGGAGGAGGCAGGAAGGAGGAAAGGAGGAGGAGGGAGGAAGGAGGAAAGGAGGAGGAGGGAGGAAGGAGGAAAGGAGGAGGAGGGAGGAAGGAAGGGAGGCAGGCAGGCAGGAAGGAAGGGAGGGAGGGAGGCTGGAAGGAGGAAAGGAGGAGGAGGGAGGAAGGAAGGGAGACAGGCAGGCAGGAAGGAAGGGAGGAGGGAAGAAGGAAGGAAGGAAGGAAGGAAGGAAGGAAGGAAGGAAGGAAGGAAGGAAGGAAGGAAGGAAGGAAGGAAGGAAGGAAGGAAGGAAGGAAGGAAGGAAGGAAAAAAGGAAGGAAGGAAGGAAGGAAGGAAGGAAGGAGGGAGGAAGGAAGGAAGGAAGGAAGGAAGGAAGGAAGGAAGGAAGGAAGGAAGGAAGGAAAGGAAGGAAGGAAGGAAGGAAGGAAGGAAGAAAAAAAGGAAAAAAAAAGGAAGGAAAAAAGGAAGGAAGGAAGGAAGGGGAAGGAAAAAAAAAAAGGAAGGAAAAAAAAAAAAGGAAGGAAGGAAAGGAAAAGGAAGGAAGGAAGGAAGGAAGGAAGGAAGGAAGGGAAGGAAGGAAGGAAGGAAGGAAGGAAGGGAAAAAAAGAAAAAGGAAGGAAGGAAGGAAGGAAGGAAGGAAGGAAGGAAGGAAAAAAAGGAGGAAGGAAAAGGAAGGAAGGAAGGAAGGAAAGGAAGGAAAAGGAAGGAAGGAAAAAAGGAAGGAAGGAAGGAAGGAAGGAAGGAAGGAAGGAAGGAAGGAAGGAAGGAAGGAAGGGAGGGAGGAAGGGAGAGGCAGGAAGGAAGGGAGGGAGGGAGGCAGGCAGGAAGGAAGGGAGGGAAGGAAGGAAGGGAGGAAGGAAGGAAGGAAGGGAGGAAGGAAGGAAGGGAGGAAGGGAGTAAGGAAGGAAGGGAGGGAAGGCAGGAAGGAAGGAAGGGAGGGAGGGAGGGAGGGAGGAAGGGAGGAAGGAAGGAAGGAAGGAAGGAAGGAAGGGAAGGGGAAGGAAGGAAGGGAGGGGGAAGGAGGGAGGAAGGAAGGAAGGAAGGAAGGAAGGAAGGAAGGAAGGAAGGAAGGAAGGAAGGAAGGAAGGAAGGAAGGAAGGAAGGAAGGAAGGAAGGAAGAAGGAAGGAAGGAAGCAGGAAGGAAGGAAGGAAGGAAGGAAGGAGGGAGGGAGGGAGGGAGGGAGGGAGGGAGGGAGGGAGGGAGGCAAGGAGGAAGGAGGCAGGGAGGGAGGAAGGCAGGGAGGCAGGCAGGCAGGCAGGCAGGCAGGCAGGCAGGCAGGCAGGAGGGAGGGAGAAGGAGGAAGGAGGCAGGGAGGAGGCAGGGTAAGGAAGGAAGGGAGGGAGGAGGAAGGGAGGGAGGAAGGAAGGGAGGGAGGGAGGGAGGGAGGGAGGTAGGGAGGCAGGTAGGCAGGGAGGCAGGCAGGAGGCAGGCAGGTAGGCAGGTAGGCAGGCAGGTAGGCAGGCAGGGCAGGCAGGTAGGCAGGCAGGGCAGGAGGCAGGCAGGAGGCAGGCAGGCAGGCAGGCAGGCAGGCAGGCAGGCAGGCAGGCAGGGAGGGAGGGAGGGAGGGGGGGGAAGGGGGAGGGAGGTGGAGAGGGAGGAGGAGGAGGAGGAGGAGGAGGGTGGGGAGAGGGGAGGAAGGAGGAAGAAGAAGACATAGACGATGACCTGGAAAACAGGATGACTTCTTAGTGCTGGTGTAAAGATGTGGGGATTGATTGTGAAGGATACATGGATTATTATGTAGATGTATGTATCATAATCATGCAGAGGTATGTTTCATAATCATACAAATACATATTCTGTCGTTCCTTTAGGAGGGGACCGAACAAGCATTGCCAAAGAAACCTTCGTGTTTACTGACACTGAGGGTCAGTTGTATCACTTCTCAGTTGAGGGCAATGTGATTAAAGATGGGACAAAAGTGCCTCCGGATGTAAGTACTATATATTGTTTATACTGTAATGTTATTTTGTAGTATGCATTGATTTTGTTTAGTAATCAGAATTCCTGTTTGCTACCACGAGGTTGAATAAAAATAAATATTTAGACAGCAAGTTACAATACCATGGCTGAAAATTAGACACTCAACTCACACATGTGAAAATAAAGGAAGTGACGACATTTTGGTACATCACTTCCTTTATTTTCACGTGTGTGGCTGACTGTCTAAAAACAAACATGTTTATTTTTATGTCTGAATAGTATCTAAAACAACCAATTTGAATATTTATCCTGCCAGGTTATTGTGTTCATACATTTGCCAACTTTGAAATAGAGATGTATTTGTGTAATTACCAGCTTGTTGTGTAAGAGGACCGAGCCCAAGCTTTGTGTCCACTCTCTCTTTGCATATATAAAGTATTTACTTCTGGGTGGTTTTCATCCCATCATGCTGTCTCACGAGGCACACTTAAATGTTCTCTACTCTCCTTGTTATTCTATTGTTTCAAGCCTTCATTTTAATTACTATATGAATGATTAAGTTAAATTTTACCCAACATTGTTGAGGTTTTTATTTCCTCTGCCACAGTCTCAGATGAGTGCCATTACCTCCATTGCTTGGAAAAGTCATGAAATAGTACTCAGTGATGCTGATGGTAATCTGACGGTGTGGGACCTAAAAACTCGCATCTCCAGACACATTGCCACTCATCGCGGTTGGATACGTAAAGTGCGGTTTGCCCCGGGACGGGACAACATGAAACTTGTTGTGCTGTTTGCCGATGGAATTGATATCTGGGATGTAAGAGATGTGAGTATGCTCTGACTCATCATTTTTGTATTAATGTCACTGACTTATACATAGTGGCTACAGTCTTCTCTGCCTGGTGCCTTCTTTTGACACTTATTATACACGATGAACTGTCAAAGCTATTTGTCATTGCGTTATAAAAATACAATATGAAGATGGATTGAGAAATACAGTATACTGTACTGTATGTTGAAATAAAAATTACTTTAAAGCCATCAATTAAAAATTCATGTAAAATGTCATGTATCCTGCTGAGAGGAGGAGCTGTGGCACTAACACTGCACTGTATATGTCTATCTTTATTTGGTGTCTAGTTATGCAGTTTGTAGAATATTCTTCAGACAATTAATTGGTCTTCACTTGATCATATGCTGAAAAATCAACATGTGGAAGTTACTCATTAAGAAAGTAGAAGGTAGGCAATAGAAAATCTATTTAAGATTACTACAATGTCTTTAGATCACAACTGAGGGACCCGGGTTCAATCCCCAGGCAAGACCTTTGGGTGTGTTTCCTTTCTCATAATGCCTCTGTTCACTTAGCAGTAAATAGGTACCAGGAATTAGACAACTGTTGTGGGTTGCATCCTGGAAGTCAGTAGTTGGCCCGGAAGGGGGGTTTTGATTAGCCTAAATACAGGCTTCCCATCCTGTCAACAGGATTTATTATTATTATTGAGAGAATCAGTAGGAGCTGTGAGGAGGATTCGAATCTATGGTGTTGATACTCCCAAACAATTTTTTCATTGATACATCACATTAACCACTGCACTGTGCACCTGGTTTTGGCAAAAACTTCTTAGTGCAATTGTCAAGGACATATTTTTGTTGTTTTTATAAATATTTAGGTAAAGTTAATGTCAAAATGTTTCCAAACTCAACTATTTCCATTTCAAAATACAAAGAGTAATGAAAACATTAAAAAACATTAATATAGCCTAATTAAAAAAAGCACACCTCTCATAGCGTCTATAGGCGCTTTGCGCAGTGCAGTGGTTAATGTGATTTCCTTGTGCATTATTATCATTATTATATTTATTATTATTATTACTCATAAAGAGAACAAGAACATTTCATAAAAGAGCAATGAGAGCTGCCACTGGAGGTAAGATGAATATTCTATATTCTAATTATTCAGGCTAATAATAATAGAATACAGGCTAATAACCCTGTATTCTAATTGATTTCATTAGAAACTACATCAACCTGGGTGTAATGAAGTTGGGAAAAATTTTGGTGACACGATGGTATTTAAACTAGGATTCTTTTTATGCAGACAATAAGTCACAATAATGTGACTTATCGTCCAACCTGTGCCAACGTGCAAATTTGAAAATAAAGGTGACAATGTTTCAGTTCATTGTGGACCATTGTGGACCAAATCATCTCAAGATCATCTCAAGATAACCATTACCAAGTCATTACATGACTCAATAATGGTCCAGGACATACCAAAAATCATCTTTTTCTTTATTTTTAGATTTGTGTTTTAGGTGTCAATTTTTTGTATTGGAAGAAATTTACTAACCATACAAAAAAGTTTTGTCCTTTTCTTTTCATATTGATTTATTTTGTGTAGACTAAAAAGTCTTACTTTCTTAGGTGGTTCTAGTAAGCCAGGTCAAGTCTCCACGGGACATAGTCAAAGTGGTGGACGTTGACTGGGGAGCATCGGACCGGCCTGTTCTGGCCACCATCGATGGATGTCTTCGGGTGATGGATATGTCGCTCAAGTCTTCCAGTACACCAATATACAAGTATTATACCAAAGGTTAGTCAAACATGACCTTACCTTGTGTTGATTCTGGGGGTCAAGATCCTCATGGTCCGGTCTCTAACCATGCCTTCTGGTGGTTACCTTGAATAGTTACTTTTATTAACTATTATACATTTACTGTATTTATTTTTAAGTTTCATTAATCTCACTTGAATAGTCTTCATGAGGTATTATAGTGAACAAAATCAAACATATAGGAATACAGTATAAAGTAATTTCAAATACATAAATAAATTAAATTTTTTCAGAGCCAATAGTATCTCCATATCTGTTAGCGGGTGAGGCCTCACTGAACTTACGAACATTAATGACCCAGCAGCCATGGCGGCCCCAGTATTCTCTCTCATTCACAGGAGAAGATGGCTTCACACCAGAACAACTGCATAGTAAGTTGATTGTATATTTTTTAACCTATATATTCTTACCATTTTTATTCAGCTTAAGTAATGGACTTGCTATGAATTAGTTCATGTGGAAAATATTTGTGGACATATCAATGCTCTGGAAATTATTTGTGGACATAAATTTTGAGAAATGTTTAGAAAGATTACATAGGTGCTAGTAAAAGACCATCTACATCACTCATTTATTATGTAGATTAAGTAGTTCTTTCCTCGCTGGATGTTTGAGCATGTTTCCTTATACCTAATGTTCATTTAGAAGTTAACACTTTCGCGCTTTAGATTAGAGATAACTCGTCGCCGTTTTCTCTTACGATTCCGCATAACAGCCGAGTTTTCTCGTCCATCGAAAAAATATTTCTATAAATTCCATTTTTTAACCGAAATGGATGGGGATACTTTTGTTTTGTAGGGAATTTATTTGAGAATGTTTTGGTACCAGAATGAATATTATATCACATAAACTTCTATGAGTAAAAAAAAAAATACACAAAGTATGTTTGGGGGTGTGGCGAGCATGTGGCAGTGGGTTCCCTTTAGCCGTTGATATATCCAACACGTGGGAAATATTTGTATGTGTTATGTATATGTCTGTGTAGGGAATTTTACTGATCACTGTCAAAATCACTGATCACAGTGATTTTGATCACTGTCATACAAATTATAAAATGTTTCAACAAGTATAAACATGACAAACATCAAACGAACGAAAACAATGCGTTCGTTTCTGCCGCGAACGCATACTGAGCAACATGGTTCTATATTTGGCGCTTCTCTTACACATGCTTTGTACAAATGTTATACAGTTCATCTTATAGAAAATTTTATTGCAAACACATTGGTATAAAAAAGAAATACGTACATAGAAAAGTAGGGTCAGGAAACGTATAAACTTTCCAAGCATGATTTCCCCCCGTGTTTTCGCCAGTGCGCTCGCTGCTAACTACTCTCCACTTCACACACTCTTGCGAGTGGGTGGGCAATTACCTATATTAAACATTCATATGCATATGTCCGTGTAGAGAATTTTATTGCGATTCCAATGATACCAAAATTAGCGATGTAGGACAACTGTAGGCTTCGCAACCATTAAGAGAGTGGAAAACATTTTGTTGCTGTTTGGCGCTCTCGGCGAGTGATCTGCATAGTTTTTTATTTGGTGTTGATACTCCTTATGCTTGGGCGGCATTTTATAGGTATGCTCTTATAGACAATTTCATTGCGAACACAGTGATACCAAATTTAAATACGTGCGCCTTCAATTATTGTCAGGACAGTCAAAAGAGTGTACACTTTTCGGTCTTACCGCGTAGGCGCGCGAAGTGCCGAAAGCATCTGGGGTATTGTTTTTTTTTGAGCGCCGAGAGCGCAAAAGTGTTAATAGGTACTCCTAAGTGAGACAGGTTCTTTAAACTGGGTTGAGCTTCATAGCTCTGCAGGGACCATTAGATACATTCCATATAGTGCTGGTGTCTAGAATGTCTCCATCCTGACTGCATGATCCTCATCCAGAGGATACATCAGATGTTATCTTAAGGGGCAGCCTGAATGACACCTCAGAAAAGGACTTTTCATATGCACTCAATGCTATATTGGTTTTTAAGAGACTTAGAATATGTTTGTCCCATGAGTTCTGCAATATTCTTTACAATTTAAATTTGTGTTATTAAAAAAGTTTAAATTTAACCTCAAACACTAAACCCATTAAGATTTTAATTTAACCCTTTAGCATTTACTGCCAATATCTATTTATTTGGTAACCATAACCTTGATGTAAAATGGTTCAAAATCAACATCAATAGGGTCCATCTTCAGTGTATGAAGGGCATGTGTATGAAGTTTACAATAGACCCCTTGCATGTGACCATCCCTTGAGGAGTCAAATAACACAGTTAGAATTATATTTACAGTTTCTAATGTGAATAATAAATAGTTTGAAGGGTTTTAGCAATGATGATAATAGTTGTCACAATAATGGTAGATCTCTGTAAACCATCTACAGAATCATAGTGGTAGAACATTCGATACAAATTATTATTTACATCTGATACTGTAGGGCTACAGTATGGTAATCCGAATGTAGAATGATATCTATGCAAGGAGTGTACATAAATGGATGGATACATAATGCCATGATTGTATCTTCCAGAACTATTTCAGTTCAGGTTAATAAATGTGTGAATAGTTTTTATGTTGAAATCGTACTGAATAGGCAACTCCCATGGTCTTTGGGCTACTTTACTCGACTTTTACCTGAGGGCCACATATCTCTAGTGGCCACAATGGGGATGGAAAGTTGGCGGCTTGTCAAAGGTTCCTCCATTGTTCCTGAGGATTTTTTCCATATGGATTTTGAAGAGGAATTATAATTAATGATATAATTGCAGTAAATGCCTTAGTTACTGATGGTAACTTTTCTGTAGTTGCATTCTTTTAGACTTAATAAACTTTCCGTTGCAGATATAGAGATTTGGCTCTCGCGAATTCCAGGGGAACTGCGTGAATTTTTGGAGACATGTGGCTCAACAGCTCATCGTGCTCTGGTGACTGCACAGTTGTTTGGTGACCAAGGAGAAATAGACTTCTGGACTGTAGCTACCCATTACCTCACACAGCCAGCACTTCCTAACCCAAAGGTATCACAAGCATGCTTTATTGCACTAAGTACTGTGGTATAAGTAGTACCATGTTTCTGGTGTATAAGATGCACCTCTGCTTTCAACACGACACTATTCTACAACCATATTTCATGGAATTTTCTGGGGGGAGCCCCTACGGCTCCCGAAAGCTAACGGACTGATATCTATTATATTGGTCTGGAGCATCAGTTAATTGGAGTTTTGAGCGTACCGGGAACCACAAGCCAGAACCTGGTTTCCTCAGAGAGGCGAAGTGAGCAATGGCTTATGACATGACAATACTCTCACTCTGTGAGAGTATTGTCATGTCTGCCATCAATCCGGGTTATCACCCAGAAAGGTAGGAGGACCATTGCAACCCAAGACTGAAAAAAGCACAAGATCTCCCCTAAGAGGAAACAACAAACAATCGAAAATTCACTCAACCAGCACACCCAGAACCCCCCCTCCTCCCCCCGGCACCGCCCGGGCGACCAAGCTCTGACACCAACAATTTGTCTAATGATGTCGAATAGAGCAGACGTTATGCTGGCCCCATTCTCCTGTCAGGATTTTTCCCTGTGTGGTTGTGCCTGCTGTGTTGGAGCATTGGCCAGGTGTTATAGTGTACTTGGGCATTCATTGATGAATGAATGGGATGGGGAATACATTGGGCATTCCCTGTACCGGGGAGGGGGGGAAGCTGCGCAGACGTGCAGCGTGGCTCGTGTGACATCATGCTTGTTTGCTTGTTTTACCTATGGGAAGTTCTGTCCACTTATTTCGTTATTTTCGCTGGTTTCACCAGAATAGGGGTGGGTTTGTTTTGAGGTGCTTACCTTTCTGGGTGCTTGTCTTGGTCGATGGCAGATACTTTTTCAGCTTTGATGTCCAAAGAGCTTGGAGAGGATGTGGAAGGAAGAAGGATGGCGCGGTGAAATTCTTGGAAGAAGATCTGGATGTGGAGAGAGGAGGCTTGAAAGTTTGGTGGCCTTTCCACCGCGGATTGGAGATGTTTTTTCGGTCAAAGCCTGTAGCTTGAGTTATTCTTAAGCTGCAGGAGGCTAGTGGTGAGGCGGGATGATGTTGTCCTGGTTAAGTTGAGGTGTTCTGTCTGGCTTGGAGGAGGCGACTTCCCTATTGAGATGGTGAGAGGTAAGTTCACTGTTGCTTGGTGGTGCCTTGGCAGAGAGGTATTCGCATGTACTTTCCATATGACAGAGGTGGTATTGGAGTTCCTATCGGGTCTTCGTACTTGTCCAAGAAGGGCAGTTGTCCTTTCTTGAAATTGAATTTCGGGTCGATGTATTCTCTCTTCAGGGCATTGAGGTCCACATATTGTTCCACGGTCTCGTGGTGGACAAAGATAGGTTGAGGAAAGTCAGGGTGGTTTGTGAAGAGTTCGACGAGCCGGTTGCATTCTAAGGCGATGACTATTCTTGTGCTGCTGTTGCCGTTGAAAACGTCATCATCATGGAGGAAGATGCCAAAGTAGGGTTCTTTCTTGCTTGAGCTGCTTGGGTTTGGATCAAAGTCTGGTGCCACATATGTAATGATCTGTGCCAACTGGTCTGAATCAATTGGTTGCTGTGGTTGTGGATCTGGTTTTGATTCTGAATCTGATTCTACTTGTTGGTGTTTTGCTTTCCTTTTCGCCTTTGTCACCCGCCTGTTGACGGTAGGTGATGAGGCTTCCATTGGTTGTTGGGTTAACTGGTCTGATGTAGAGATGGAGTGGGTGGATGTTGATGCCTGGGTAACTGGTGTTGCTGATACTGGTGTTGGGTCCACCTCAGGGCAGGGAGGGGGGGGGAGGTGGAAGTGGGGGGTGGTGGTGGTAGCATGGCTTCGGTTGCTGGTGGTGTTGGAAGCTGGTCTGTTTGGGTTGAAGCAGCGTTCTGAGGCTGCAGCAGGTCTGCTGGGATTGACATCGTAGGTAGATTGTTTTGGGTGAGCAGCATGTTCAATATTTTCATGTAATTACCGACGTCTGTTCCTGCCGCCTTCTCAGCTACACTGATCAGGGATGGGATGAGAGTGGTAGTGGCGGCCGAGACCGCTGATTGGGTGACTGGAGAGCTGGCTGGCTGGGCTGCAGTCGCCTGTGTGCTGGGTCCCCAATGGGGGGGGCTGGCTTGGTGTGGACATCTGTGTAGGAGAAGCAGAAGCAATTGGAAGCACTGGGAATGCCGTAGCCTGGATATTGAAGCTCGTCGGCTGATTGGTTGTTGGATTGGCAGTTGCTGTTTTTTTAATTTCGTCCAGTCATACTTGACAGTCCATGGAGACGGCGGTGTGAGCTCCACAATTGAGGCACAATTTGCTGGTTGACTGGCAGGTTTTGAAGTGATGATCTTGGGTGCAAATGCTACACTTTGCCTCTGCTTGTGGGCAGTTCCTGGTGTCGTGGTCGTATTTATAACACTTAAAACATTGGCGTACGATGTAGTAATGCTCCTTCTTGACAGTGTTAGGTGTAATGGAAATATCCATGCATCTAAATCCATTTTCCACAGCCTGGGTCACTGCAGCTGTTATGAAGGTGACCTTGAGATTAGGCCTTGGGTTATCATCGTTCTTGATGACTTTGACTTTAGCTGCAGTCAGAGCAGGGTTTCTGGTGTTGGTGCTGTCAAGTATGGTGTCAGGGGTCCTGGGTGGCGATGTAGACACTCGTGTTGCTGACGAAGATGATTCCTTCAGCCAAGTAGCGTCGGGTAGGAGTGATGATCAGGTTGGAGTTTCGTAAGGCATCCTGGTGTTCTGGTGCAAACAGTTGCTTCAGAGCTTCCGCGCTTAAATAGAGAAGTACAGCTCTGTCGGCATCTTTGCTGATGTCCAATGGAGCAGCATTTGTGATGTCGATGATTTTCCCTAGTAATTGGGGCCCGTTGTATCTGGTTTCGTCCCGAAACTTGACTTTGATGCGGTAGATCGTGATGATGGTGAATCTCTCAATGACCACCGCATCACTGGAGATTGCCTACTATCTCTTCTCAGTATATAGTACCAAGATGGGAGTGGGGTGTGGCAATCTAGAAAGAAGCTAGTCTTCTGCTCAGTTTTTACCCACCTGGCAGTGCTAGGTGCATGAGAGGTCTATGTTGTATGTGTTGTGTTTTCTTTATGCCATTTATCGTTTATCCGTTTATGTGGCAGATATAGAATGCTCCAAAATCACACATGCGTTTCTATAAGCCATTGCCCCTCATGCCTCTCTGAGAGGCCCAGGTTCTGGCCGTGGTACCCCGGTAGGCCTAGAACTCCGCCCACATCGACTGATATAAAAAGTTAGGACTGTCCCTATTAGCCTGGATAGCTCTTGGGAGCCTCCGGGACTCACCCGTAAAATGGCATTTCATTACATTCAATGCTGGTTTTTTGCTAGTATGTTTTATTATGCATTTATTGATAAGAATTTTTTTAATGTGCAGCTACCCTCTAACCATGTGTTGAGACTCATTAACAACTTTATCATTGTATTGAAATTTATGTCTTCAGGATGAAAGCAGCAGTAGCAACAGCAGTGTTGGTAGTGCCGAACTAATTCAACTCGGGGACTCTGCATCAGAGAAGAGTGGTGGAAGTGAGGACCTGTGTCCTCCGACAGCTCTGCCACCCTCCCACCCGCTGGAGACTACTTACCATCATCTGTGTGATGCTGCCACTTATAAAGTAGGTGATGATAGAGGAGTTTTTATTTTACTTATGCATTATTTGACCGTATTGAAGTAGAAAACATGGAAGAATTTGCATGACATTTGACTTAGCTGAATTTCTTAACAGGAATGTAAAAAAAAAAAAAAAAAAGGAAAATTTAAAACTTGTTTGGGGAGCCTATCTGGCTCCCTGGAGTTATCGGACTAATACACACTATATTAGTCTGGAGCGTCAGTCAATGGAGTTCTGCATACCGGTGACCATGAGCCAGAACCTGGCCCCCTCAGAGAGGTGCAGGGAGCAATGGCCTGTGGAAACCCCATGTGTTTGGGAGTATTCCATGTCTGCTGTTGGCTAGAGTTAGGCACCCAGAAAAGGTAGGCATAACAAAACTAACCATACTTGGTAAGAAATTGCAATGAAGACCGAACAGAAGAGTAGAACTCCCCCCAAAACCTAAAGAAACAAGCAAACTTCACAAACCGCTGCCGCACCACTTATCCATGCAGCCCTCCCCTTTGTGCCTTCGTGGTGTTTCCTGCTCTTTGTGGTGCGGTGGCCAGGAGTAACTTAAGTGTAATAGGGCTCGCTCGTGGGCATTTGGCCTCAATCTTGCACTTCTTTTCCCTTCTCGAGTTGTCCTCGGACTGGCTTGGGGAGGATGTGGAGGTGTTGAGTGCCGGGCCTTTGTCTGGGGCACTGGCCTCGGCTAGGGAGTCGTCAGCTCTGTTGAAGCCGTTTGAGCCGATTCACAGGAAGGTAGTGTCTCTGTTCTTTGCCTCTCGTCTCGTGTGTCGCCAGGACACACTCGCTTTCTCCTTAGAATCTGCTTGGGTCGTGGCTATTAGGTTTTCGTCGCCTTTCTGGGGGGAGCCCCTTCGGCTTCCCCGAGCTTACTAGGCTGATATGCTAATGTCAGACTTTGGCATGAGTCATGTGTATGGAGTTCTGTGGGCCTACCAGGGACCATGAACCAGAACCTGGCCCCCTCAGAGAGGCATGGGGAGCAATGGCCTATAGACACCACCGTGTGGTTGGAAGCATTCTATATCTACCATCAACCAGGTCAGGCTCCCAGAAAGGTAAGCATCCCAAAACAAACCCCTATTCTGTTGAAAATATTGCTACCAAAAGCCGAACAAATGGATAGAACTTCCCTAAAAGAAGTGAGCAAACGAGCATGATGTCACACGTCACTGCGCCGCTGCCTGCACAGCTCCCCTGTCCCCTGGGAGGGGGAAGGGGAAGCCTCAGACCCCCCACGCTGGCTATCCACTCTTCAGTTTTCAGGCTGATGCTAAAGCCAGAGGTTGTGTGCTTGGCTCCAGCATTTCCAGCACTGTGCTTTGAGTGTGGTGGCTGTCTTCCAGGGGTGCGAGACCCAGGAGTTATTCTACAGTACTCGGGCTGCATGCGCCTAGGGTTATTGTCCCTAGGTGCCCTGTAAGTACTTCCCTTGGAGCTTGAGGTTACCTTCCACAAGTTCCTTGGGGTCTGCTTCTTCTAGGCCATATTACTGCTCAGTTTTTGGCTGCCCTTTGGGTGCTTAAGGGTTTTGTATTCCTGGTTTACCTTAGAGTAAGAGGCAGTTTGCACTGGTGGAGCGCAGGGTGCTGCGCAGCTTGTTTTCAGCACTTGCAGCGGCCGGCTCTGTTTCTTGGGGTACGTTGTCCTCTTGCGGGGTTTGGTTTTTGCCTTGTAGGGGGGTCTGCCTTGCTTCCCTTTTTTTTGTGCCTGACCTGTGCATGGTTCTATTGTGTTGGTGCCCCCTGCTAGGTACCAGTGAGTGTACTCATCCCTGGGTTACAGCTTTAGACAGTTGTTTGGTAGTTTTGGGCACCGGTTAGCAGTACCCTGCCTGGGATTGCCTGGGCGTAAGTTTCCGTTAAAAGATCTGGACCCTGGGAATCTCGTAGAGGGCGCGTGGGTCCGATGAATCTTCCCCGGAGTCCCACCCCCTCGCTTCGTGCGAGTTCGAGGGCTGCTTGGTCTCCTTGACTCAGGGTGACCCTCATAGTTTTTGCCTCAATCACGCTGCCTGTTGGGTCGGTGACACCTTCGACCCAGAGTTGTGTGAGTTCTGTTGCTTACTAGTGACTCAGTTTAACCAATCTCAAGATGATGTTCTATGGGAACAGGCAGCGCAGGCGTTGCATGCTCATTTTAGGTTGTTGCAACGCACTAGGTTGGTTGCTCACCCGGATGCCCCAAGGCTGCCCCGTTTTGCTTATAGGGACCCGGACTCAGGGGAGGGGGTCGCTTCAACCTTGGTTCAGTTCGCATCCCCTCGTCCTTCCCCTGCTGTGGTGCGTCCTGGTCCAAACCCCCCCCCCCCCTTTCCCTGTTTCCGGCCTCGAAATGTCTGAGGGTTTCGGAGTTGGGGCAGGGTTTAGATGGTCTTGAGTCTTGGGGCGGTCTCGGGGGATGCCCCCTTCCGGTGTGGCGATGGAGGCATTCGAGTCCATTCTCCCTGCCAAAGTCTCTGAGTCTGACCAGTGGGCCTTCCCCCCCTTCCGTTCGACTTACTCAGCTGCGCCGGCTTTTTCTTTAGGGGCCGGTGCTCAGGGGGATGACTCGGCCCCGGGTCCCGAGGAGGGGGATCTTGGGGCTGGGGAGGGGCTGACTTGGGGGGTCCTTGGGCCCTGCTGGACCCCGCCTGGGGTTTTCTACCCCCGGAGCGGGGCTTATTGTTACAAGGAGTGGGGTTCTCTTTTTTTTCCCCCCTCTGTGTACGAATTGGATTTGGCGTCTGTCCCTCCCAGGGTTCGGTTCTGTATTCACCTAATTGTGCTTGTAGGGGTTGAGCTCTGCTCTTTCGGCCTGCCTCTCAGCTGGCAATCAACTATTTCTACTACTACTATTTTTTTTCTCTCCCCACACACACACACACACACACGACGAGATCTTTTCTCGTTAAGACGAGATCTTTCAAAAGAAGATAGAGAGAAGCTGAAACTGAACCTCGCCGAGGCAAAACATTTAAATGAGAGCAGGAATGAAGAAGAAATAAATTCTTTTTTCTACAAAGTGATAGGGGTAGGCAAACCAGTAAAGTGGTACATAAAGGCAAACCAACAAAATCAATAGAGAGAGGGGGAGTGAAGAATAAGGAGAGGGGGAACAAGTTCCTGAAGATTGCATACACCAACATAGATGGAGTGAGATCGAAGATACTGGAGTTAAGTGATGTAATACAGCTGCAGACACCAGACATTGTTGCACTCACGGAGACAAAACTTGAAGATGTAATTTTAAATGAGGTCATATTCCCAAGGGGCTACTCAATTTGGAGACGGGACAGAAAAATTAGGAAAGGCGGTGGCGTTGCTGTGCTGGTAAAAGAACACCTAAAGGTGAAGGAAATAATGACTGCCAATCCACAAGAAGTTGACATAATAGCACTAGAGATCTGCTATGAGGATGATAAACTAATGATGATAAATGCATATAGTCCACCGCCAAGCAGCACATGGTCAAAGGAGGAGCTAGATAGTAAACGTCAAAGGAGGAGCTAGATAGTAAACGTGAAGGTCTTATAACAATAATGAGAGAGATTATAGCGAGAGCGGATAACGATAGATCACGACTGTTGATAGTCGGTGACTTCAACTTGAAATCCATAGACTGGGAAGCATATGAAGCTAAAACAGAAGATTTTTGGACCTGTAAATTTGTAGACCTCATCCTGGAAACATTCTTGTATCAACATGTTAAACAAGCTACGAGGATGAGGGAAGGGGACGTTCCCTCCATGCTAGATTTGATATTTACCAGGAAGGAGGAAGAGATATTTGACATTCAGTACCTTCCTCCCTTGGGTAAAAGTGACCATGTCTTTTGGGAATAAAGTATGCAATGCGTTATAAGCTGGAAGAAAATAAGGAGGTTGAAGCAGTTGAAAAACCAGACTTCAGGAGAGGACATTATGGTGACCTTAGAAATTTTTTAGTGAGTATAACTGGACAGACTTGATGCTAGGCAAGGAAGTGAATGAGATGTATGGCAAGTTTTGTGAAATATATGATAAAGGCACAAAAAAATTTATACCAAAACAGAGATGCAGAACTAGGAAACAGGATTGGTTCAATAGAATTGTGAGAGGGCTAGAGACCGAAAGACACAAAAATGGAATCAATACAGGAAGAGGCCGAACCCCCAAACATACCAGCGATACAAAGATGCGAGAAACAACTACACGGCAGTGAGGAGAGAGGCAGAAAGAAATTTTGAAAAAGGGATTGCGGACAAATGTAAAACAGAACCAGGTCTATTCTATAAATTCATAAACAACAAATTGCAGGTAAAGGATAATATTCAGAGGTTGAAAATGGGAAATAGATTCACGGAAGATGAAAGGAAATGTGTGAAACACTAAACGAAAAGTTCCAAAGTGTGTTTGTACAAAATGAAATCTTCAGGGAACCAGATACAATAAGAATTCCAGAGAACAACATAGAACACATAGAGGTGTCTAGAGACGAAGTGGAAAAAATGCTCAAGGAGCTCGGAAAGAACAAAGCAGCTGGCCCAGATGGCGTTTCACCATGGGTTCTGAGAGAATGTGCATCTGAGCTCAGCATTCCACTTCACCTGATCTTTCAGGCATCCCTGTGTACAGGAATCGTAGCAGACGGGTGGAAACAGGCTAACATAGTTCCAATCTACAAAAGTGGCAGCAGGGAAGACCCCCTCAATTATAGACCTGTATCATTGACAAGTGTAATAGTGAAAGTATTGGAAAAACTAATCAAAACTAAATGGGTAGAACACCTAGAGAGAAATGATATAATATCAGACAGACAGTATGGTTTTCGATCTGGAAGATCCTGTGTATCGAATTTACTCAGTTTCTATGATCGAGCCACAGAGATATTACAGGAAAGAGATGGTTGGGTTGACTGCATCTATCTGGACCTAAAAAAGGCTTTCGACAGAGTTCCACATAAGAGGTTGTTCTGGAAACTGGAAAATATTGGAGGGGTGACAGGTAAGCTTCTATCATGGATGAAAAATTT